AGGCAGCAGCAGCAGTGTGGTCCAAGGCGTTGAGTGCGTCCACCACCGCTTGAGGCACGCCCACACCCGTGTCCTCCACCACCATCTCCACCCACACCTGCCCCATCCCACTGCTGCCGCCACCGCCACGGCCACCAGCAGCAGCAGCAGCAGCAGCGGCGGCGGCGGCACTGCCAGTAGCAACAGCGTGTGCGACGGCAGCAGCGAATCGGCTCTCCTGGTCGTCCAGCAGCCGCCTCAGCGTGTTCCAGCCGCACCGCCCGTCCGCCACCCGCCTCCCACTCAGACTGTCAACCCCTCCGCCCCCCTGCTCCTGCTCCTGCGTTATCTGCTGCTGCTGCTGTTGCCGATGCTGCTCCTCCTGCTGCTCCTCGCGAATCTGCTGTTGATGCTGCTGCCGCTGCTGCTGGCGGTGCTCATACGCATCGCTGTGCGCCAGCCCCCCCTGCTGCAGCCAGGAGTCAGCAGACAGCGATCCAAACACACCCGCCCCACTGCCCGCCTGTTCCTGCACCCCCTGCTCGCTCCAAGGAGCAGCATACGCCGCTAGGCGCCGAGCGATGCCGCCCAGCCCGAGGAGATCCGGGCTGGAGAAGAGGGAGGAGGGGGAGGAGGGCGCAGAGAAGACGGAGGGGAAAGGAGCCGCGGAGGCGGAGGCGGATGCTGTGGTGGGGGGCGGGGAGAGGGGGTGGTGGTGGGCGGGCGGTGGGAGGGGCATGCGCGAGGGCGGCAGGAGCAGGCTGTTGTCCTCGCCGTGCCTCTGCTGCACGCCTGCATTCCCACTCACCGCCACCACCCGGTGCTGCTCATGCGCGTCCCTCTGGTGCTGCTGCTGCTGCTGCTGGCGCTGGAGGGCCTCTTGGGGGTGCAGCAGTCGCACGCAGAGCAGCACGTGGCCCTGCTCCGTGCGCTGCACTGCTGCTGCCGCCACGCACAGCAGCAGCTGCAGGTGGGGAGGGGGAGGGGAGGGAGAGTGGCAGGAAGGCCGTGAAGGAGGGACAGAAGGGGTAGGAAAGAAGCAGCAGCGATGGTCTATGCGGGAATGGGAGTGGCATGAGGCGCGAGGAGCAGGGGCAGGGTATTAGAAGTGGGCAAGGAACGGGGAGCAGCGGGGACCTGTTTGAGGAGGAGGGAGTCGGAGAGCAGCAGCGGGGGCACGTCGTCCATGACGAGGCACGCCAGCTCGAGCCCCTTCTCGCGCGCCTCCCCGCCCACCGCCCCCACCATCTCGTCCGCCACCCCCCGCACGTCCACCGCTGACGTCACCACGGGCAGCGGGGCGGGCTGCGCGCGCCAGGTGGCGCTGGCGGCGGCGGCGAGGCGGGTGAGGTGCGCGGCGAAGGCGTGGAGCGAGTGGATGAGGTCGAGGTGCATGGGGTCGCGCACGGACGCCGCCAGCAGGCGCAGCATCCCCAGCGCGCCTGCAAGGGACGCGCGGAGGCGCGCGGAGGGTCACAAGCACACGCAGACGAATGAGCTTGAAAACGGGTAACTTGGGGGGGGGAGCACACGAGAAGAGGAACTGACACGGAAGAGGCGGGTGGGAAGCGAGAGGGGAGCGGAGCGCACCTCTCATGGGCGCCGCTATTCCGTGAACCAGCAGGTCGACAGCTGCGCGCGCAGCCATGTCCCCATCCCGTGAGACCAATGCGCCAACCACCGTGCCTGCATCCGCACTTCTCGCTCTCGCACCCTCCTCCTCCCCTGCGTCATTTTCTTTTCCTATCCTCCCTTTCTTCCCAACTATGTTCTCCTCCTCTTCCCCCTTGCTCACCCGCGCCTGTTCAATCGCCTGTTCCCCCTTCGTCCCTCGCAATCGCATCTCCAGATCGCGCACTCGCGCCGCTTGCCCGGAAAGCGCGCGGAGCAACAGGAGCGCGAACCCCAGAACGGCCAGCGCCGCTACGGGAGGGCTCCACGGGCGGTGCAGCAGCTGGTGGGTCGCGTGGGTCGCCCAGTCGCACGTGTCACCACGCGAGGAGTCGCACGCTGCGACGGGATGCGACGAGGGCGACGCAGGCCCCAATCGCATGACGTTGAATGCGAGGAGGAGTGCGACGCCATAGCCGCAGAATACGACGATGCTCGTCAACGGATGGAGGTCGTGACTGCGATGGCTGTGCGAAGAGCGCTGCGAAGAGCGGTGCGACGATGAATCCGCGCTCGTGTGGTCGCAGCGAGCCACGAGGGGGCGTCGCTCTGACGCCTCCATCTACCATGCGTGGACGAGCTGGCGAGTCCCTCAACCAGGAGGCGCTCCGTCGTGCATCTAATGCCTGCCGGATAGACTGCGACAGCTATTATGGGCTCTATGAAAGCGAGATATTTGCGCTAACAAGCACGCGCTCGACGACAATTTTATGGCGAGAAAGAGTCTATTTAACACTGGCAAAAAAGACTGCCTAACTATTAGAATGGCCATCGATGCATTGCAAGAGCAATCCACTCACCAAGAAAGAGCAGCCATTGCTGTGCTCGAGCAGCTATTGGAGATCCCGAGGTGACTGGCGGCTGGGATGACCTGGGCGCAGCAGTTCCCAATGTTGCTTGTCAGTTGAAAAGCGAGCAGAGCTCGAGGTCAGACCACGAGCGGGAAAGCTGCTGATTGGCGGTTGCTGGTTCTGCTATGTTGAGTTCGCTTAGCGGCCTGGCGAAGTTCGCACATTCAATAATTGTTCGCAACAAATGGAGTTGGCTCTCAGGAATATGTAGTGGGATAGGGTAAAACCAAGATCGGGACAGACAAATCAAGCTGTAGTAAATGTGACTCGAGTGTTCCCGCTTCCCCTTACCTCGTATCATATCTAGGTTGCCATGCGGCAGTTATAGCGAAGATCGCGTCGAAGCGTTGCGCAAATAGAATCGACGCGGCAGTCGTCGAATCAGATCAAATCATGGCTACCGCTGTCACCGACGCCGATCCGCACTGCGCTGACAGCGCCAACTCGGGAGGCGGAGTTGACGACGCGACGAAGGGCGGCGCGGGCGAGGGCGCGATCGCGTACGACGCGTACCGATCGGAGGAGGCGGATCTGGCGGCGGTGATGCGGCTGGTGCAGTGCGAGCTGTCGGAGCCCTACTCCGTCTTCACCTACCGCTACTTCCTCCACCACTGGCCGCACCTCACCTTCCTCGCGCGCGCCCCGCGCTCCGCCGGCCAGGACGGGGCTGAGGCGGCGGAGGGCGAGGCGGAAGGGCGGTGCGTGGGCGCGGTGGTGTGCAAGATGGAGGCGGAGCGCGCCGTACCGCGCGGGTACATCGCGATGCTCGTCGTCGCTAAGGAGTTCCGCGGGCGACGCATCGCGACGAGCCTCGTGTCACGGTGCATCGAGGCGATGCGCGACGCGGGGTGCGCGGAGGTGGTGCTTGAAGCGGAGGTGACCAATGAGGGCGCGCTGGCGCTGTACGGGAATCTAGGGTTCATACGCGCTAAGCTGCTGCACCGGTACTATCTGAACGGCTCAGATGCGTTCAGGCTGAAGCTGCTGCTGCCGTCGGCTGGCGATGCGGTGGAGGAGGAGGAAGAGGCGGCTGTGGCGGCTGCGATGGGTGCTGGGGCGGGCGGGCTGGCTGCTGGCATGCAGCGGGGATGCTGTGGGCATGACCATGGGCATGGTGGGCATGGGCATGGCCATAGTCATTCGCATGGGCATGGTCATTCCCATGGTCACGGGCATGGTCACTCACATGGGCATTCCCATGGTCATGGGCATTCGCATGGGCACAAGCACAGTCACGCACATGCACATAGTCACAAAGACGACGGCTGTTGCGGTGGCCACTCTCACTCCCATGACCATGACCATGGCCATGCACACACCCACACCGATGACCATGCACATGCCCATGACCACGCGAATGCACATGACCATGCGCACACAGAGCAGCAGCCCAAGGCACCAGCTACGCCAGAGCCCCATGCGCATGCGCCCACCCCCTCCTCTGCCTCTGAACCCAGCAGTGCTGCCGCCAGTGCTGGCAGCAGCGGCAGCACAGAGGGTCGCAAGGCGGGGGGCAAGGGGCCGGCAGGGCGACGCAAGGGAAAGGGGGGCAAGGGAGGCAAGGGCAGATGATGCTGGGGGGAGGTCGTGTGGTTGAAGGGGGGTGTTGGGCTTGTGCTGTTGTGGCTTGGCTTGTGGTTCGTGTGGATTGTGTTTCAGTAGTGCCTAAGTTAGATGCTTCAATTGAAGGTGTTTCTAGAGCACAACCAGCTCTGCTGCTTTTAAAAAATCAGTAAAATGAGAAAGGAGGGGAAAATGTGAACGAGAAGTTAGCTTTCTCAAATCAAACAAATACAGCAGGGTACCATAATACACATGTCTTGATATGGTAGTACTGTTGCAGCTGGGTGGGGGTGAGGGGGGAACGCAGCTGTGGGGAGGGGGGGAGGGGGGGGGGGACACAGCTGGGTGGTGGGGGGAATGCAGCAGGGTGGGGGGGGGACGCAGCAGGGTGGGGGGGGAACACAGCCGGGTGCGAGGGGAATGCAGCTGGGTGGGGGGGGAACGCAGCTGGGTGGGGGGGGAACGCAGCTGGGTGGGGCACAGCGAAAATGGAGTGGTTGAATCGTGGTGGGAGGGGGGAACGGGGAAAGCGCATGGCGACAGTGGCCCACGGCACTAGAGCAGCGAGCTGAGCCAGCGAGGGGGCAATAGGGGTAGAGAGGGACGTGCGCATGGCATGAATGCACTCCCTCTCCCTCTAATCTCTCCCACCATTCCCAATGCACTGCACTCTACATGAGCTCTGCTGCCATAGCACCATGGACCACCACCACCATGCGCCAAGAAACGAATGCATGTGAAACAGACAGATGGGGATAGCAAAGGAAAAAGGAAGGGGAGGACGGGGTGCGGAGGGGAGACTTCCTACAGGAGAAGCGTGGACGCAGAGAGTGAGTCGCAATCCTTCAGGGCGGCAGCAGCAAATAGCAGCGTCCCAATCGTCGCCATCAGATGAACGTGGCGTGCGATTGGTTGGACGCTATCTTGTGCACGCATCGCATACAGAGTGTCCCACTCTGTAAGTCGCAAACAGAACGGGTGCACTACCCCTGTTGCGAGGGCGAGGCGCCGCTGCTCTGGGGGGATGTGAGGGCGAGGCGCCGCTGCTCTGGGGGGTTGTGAGGGAGCGGCGCCGCTGCTCTGGGGGATTGTGAGGGAGAGGCGCCGCTGCTCTGGGGGGTTGTGAGGGAGAGGCGCCGCTGCTCTGGGGGGTTGTGAGGGAGAGGCGCCGCTGCTCTGGGGGTTTGTGAGGGAGAGGCGCCGCTGCTCTGGGGGATTGTGAGGGAGAGGCGCCGCTGCTCTGGGGGGTTGTGAGGGAGAGGCGCCGCTGCTCTGGGGGGTTGTGAGGGAGCGGCGCCGCTGCTCTGGGGGGCTGTGAGGGAGAGGCGCCGCTGCTCTGGGGGGTTGTGAGGGCGAGGCGCCGCTGCTCTGGGGGGTTGTGAGGGAGCGGCGCCACTGCTCTGGGGGGTTGTGAGGGAGAGGCGCCGCTGCTCTGGGGGGCTGTGAGGGAGAGGCGCCGCTGCTCTGGGGGGTTGTGAGGGAGCGGCGCCACTGCTCTGGGGGGTTGTGAGGGAGAGGCGCCGCTGCTCTGGGGGGCTGTGAGGGAGAGGCGCCGCTGCTCTGGGGGGTTGTGAGGGAGCGGCGCCACTGCTCTGGGGGGCTGTGAGGGAGAGGCGCCGCTGCTCTGGGGGATTGTGAGGGAGCGGCGCCGCTGCTCTGGGGGGCTGTGAGGGAGAGGCGCCGCTGCTCTGGGGGGTTGTGAGGGCGAGGCGCCGCTGCTCTGGGGGGTTGTGAGGGAGCGGCGCCGCTGCTCTGGGGGGTTGTGAGGGAGCGGCGCCACTGCTCTGGGGGGCTGTGAGGGAGAGGCGCCGCTGCTCTGGGGGGCTGTGAGGGAGAGGCGCCGCTGCTCTGGGGGGTTGTGAGGGAGAGGCGCCGCTGCTCTGGGGGGTTGTGAGGGAGAGGCGCCGCTGCTCTGGGGGATTGTGAGGGAGAGGCGCCGCTGCTCTGGGGGGTTGTGAGGGCGAAGCGCCGCTGCTCTGGGGGGTTGTGAGGGCGAGGCGCCGCTGCTCTGGGGGGTTGTGAGGGAGCGGCGCCACTGCTCTGGGGGGTTGTGAGGGAGAGGCGCCGCTGCTCTGGGGGGTTGTGAGGGAGAGGCGCCGCTGCTCTGGGGGGCTGTGAGGGAGAGGCGCCGCTGCTCTGAGGGGTTGTGAGGGAGCGGCGCTGCTGCTCTGGGGGATTGTGAGGGAGAGGCGCCGCTGATCTGGGGGGTTGTGAGGGCGAGGCGCTGCTGCTCTGGGGGGTTGTGAGGGAGCGGCGCCGCTGCTCTGGGGGGCTGTGAGGGAGAGGCGCCGCTGCTCTGGGGGGTTGTGAGGGCGAGGCGCCGCTGCTCTGGGGGATTGTGAGGGAGAGGCGCCGCTGCTCTGGGGGATTGTGAGGGAGAGGCGCCGCTGCTCTGGGGGATTGTGAGGGAGAGGCGCCGCTGCTCTGGGGGGCTGTGAGGGAGAGGCGCCGCTGCTCTGGGGGGCTGTGAGGGAGAGGCGCCGCTGCTCTGAGGGGTTGTGAGGGAGCGGCGCTGCTGCTCTGGGGGATTGTGAGGGAGAGGCGCCGCTGATCTGGGGGGTTGTGAGGGCGAGGCGCTGCTGCTCTGGGGGGTTGTGAGGGAGCGGCGCCGCTGCTCTGGGGGGCTGTGAGGGCGAAGCGCCGCTGCTCTGGGGGGTTGTGAGGGCGAGGCGCCGCTGCTCTGGGGGGTTGTGAGGGAGAGGCGCCGCTGCTCTGGGGGGTTGTGAGGGCGAAGCGACGCTGCTCTGGGGGGTTGTGAGGGAGCGGCGCCGCTGCTCTGGGGGGCTGTGAGGGAGAGGCGCTGCTTCTCTGGGGGGTTGTGAGGGCGAGGCGCCGCTGCTCTGGGGGGTTGTGAGGGAGCGGCGCCGCTGCTCTGGGGGGTTGTGAGGGAGAGGCGCCGCTGCTCTAGGGGGTTGTGAGGGAGAGGCGCCGCTGCTCTGGGGGGCTGTGAGGGAGAGGCGCTGCTCCTCTGGGGGGTTGTGAGGAGGAGGCGCCGCTGCTCTGGGGGATTGTGAGGGAGAGGCGCCGCTGCTCTGGGGGGTTGTGAGGGAGCGGCGCCGCTGCTCTGGGGGCCTGTGAGGGAGAGGCGCCGCTGCTCTGGGGGGTTGTGAGGGAGAGGCGCCGCTGCTCTGGGGGGTTGTGAGGGCGAGGCGCCACTGCTCTGGGGGGCTGTGAGGGAGAGGCGCGGCTGCTCTGGGGGGCTGTGAGGGAGAAACGCCGTTGCTCTGGGGGTTTGTGAGGGAGAGGCGCCGCTGCTCTTGGAGGCTGTGAGGGCGAGGCGCCGCTGCTCTGGGGGGTTGTGAGGGAGAGGAGACAAGGAGAAGACACAAGGACTAGGGAAAAGGGACGAGACTTTGCTAGTGGATGAAGAAAGTGAAATAACATGAAAGGAAATGGGAGGAGACTTTGCTAGAGGATGCTGAAAGTGAAATAACATGAAAGAAAAGGAGAGGAGACTTTGCTAGAGGACAAGAAAAGGAAAGGAGAATCTGGGGGGTTGTTGCTGACTGAAGCCTCGTGCAACGTAACGAGCCTTGAAGTCAGGCGGAGAACCGGGCGGCCGCTTCACTCAAAAAAAAAAAAAATCAAGCGTCGTCGACCGCTCCAAGCAGTTGCGCACCTAGACGGCCTGTCGTAGGGCGAGATGCCACCAGTGGTGCTGCACGCCCATGTGCAGCAGCATCGTCCGCACCAACTCGACGGCTGTGCGCATCTCTCGCTCAGCCATCCCGTTCTGTTGCTTAATTCACAGGCGCTTCAGTAGATTCAACAGCTGGTCTCTGAGTTGAGCCTCCTTTTGTCTGTAGTCCAGAGGTTGGAGGTGGAGTAGGAGTAGTGCCAGTGGATCCAGTAGACGAGCTCCTTTCCTTCTGTGTTGCCATGTCTTCTGTTGTTGTAGGAAGTGGAGATAGTTGAGCCTTGTCTTTGCTAGCTCTCATACCATGTTGGGATGAGAATGCCCTTAGGATCGTTTCAATGACTAAGGCTCAGGCTCATAATGTGTTAGCGGAAGCGTTTTAATAATCTAACTGAACCACCTTGCACTCGTGTGTGAGAACAAGATGGGTTGATTATAGCATAGAGATACAAGGCTTTTACTGTCAAACTATTATAATGTTTATATTGTGTAGGCTCTAGTGGGGTAGCCCATAAGGGGTACAACCCAATTAAGGTTAGTACTTGTACTCAGTTTCTTGTCAATGCATTCATTCTCGTTCAGTTTCTTGGCATGGTTTCAGAGCAGGTCCTGTTCCAGGACCATTTTTTAGGGCCCACCGCATAGTTCCCTGCCCGTAGCGCTGCCCCACTAGTCGCGCTGCCCTGCCCTGCCCGTCGTGCCGCCCTGCCAGCCGCGCGCCGCCCTGCTGGTCGCGCGCTGCCCTGCCCTGCCTGACGCGCCGCCCTGCTGGTAGCGCGACGCCCTCCCTTGCCCGTCGCGTCGCCTTGCCCTGCCCGCACGCCGCCCTGCCCTGCCCGCGCACCACCCTGCTGGACGCCGCGCCGCCCTGCCCTGCCCGTGTGCCGCCCTGCTGGCCGCCACGCCGTCCTACCCTGCCCGCGCGCCGCCCTGCTGGCCGCCGCCCTGCCCTGCCAGTTGCGTCGCCTTGCCCTGGCCGCGCGCCGCTCTTCCCTAGCCGTGCGCCGCCCCGCCCTGCCCTGCGCGCTTCCCTAGTGCTCGCGCGCCGCCCTGCCTGTTGCGCCGTCCTTGCCTGTGTGCTGCCCTGCTGGTCGCGCGCCACCTTGCTCTGCCCGCTATGGCTTCTCTCAGTGTTCTCACCTTCGATCATGAGGGCCGTCCGATCCAATTTGATACGTGGCTCGATGACTTACAGCTGTACCTACTGAGTGATTCTAGAGACAGCGTTTCGTTGTTTGACCACACATCTGGAGCCTCTCTCACCCCTCCCGACACAGCTGACAGTGCGACTCGCTCACAGTGGCTTACCCGTGACACTGCTGCTCGCTTAGACGTTCGCGACCACCTGCCGTTAGCCGAACGCGCTCACTTTGGCCAGCACAAGACTGCTAAAGCCCTGTACGACGCTGTATTCGCTCGTTACTCTTCCCCTGCCACTGCTGCTCTCGGCCGCCTTATACTGCCCTACCTTTTTCCCGAGCTGTCAGCCTTTGCCACAGTCGAGGACCTCATCACCCACCTTCGCACTAGCGACACTCGCTACCGCCCTGCCCTCACAGCCGAGTTCCTAGACAAGAACCTGCCCCCGATGTACATCACTCTCTACTTCATAGTCACCCGCCACCCTGACTCTCTTCACGCTGTCAGGGACCACTTTCTCGCACTTGACCCCACAGACCTCACTGTCGACCTGCTCGAGAAGCACCTCCTTGCAGCTGAGACTAGTGTAGTCGCTGTAGGTGCTGCTCGTGGCACTCCTCGCACACCCTTCTTTGAGGGGTGTTCCCCCTCCCCCCATGCCCCCTCCTAAGCTTCTGCTGCTGCTGTTGACATCCTTGGTACTGAGGATGTCAAGGCTGTTTCTGCTCCTAGTGGGAAGCGCTGCAGCGGCAAGGGCAAGGGAGGCAAGAGTGGTGGAGGTGGCAGCAGGGTTGGTGGTGGTGGAGGCGGTGGAGGCAGTGGAGGTGGCGGAGTTGCGGTAGGAGTGGTGGCGGGAGTGGGGGCTTCGGTGGCGGCGGTGGTGGCAGCGGTGGGAGTCGTGGTGGCGGTGGTGGCGGCAGTGAGAGTGGTAGCGGTGGTAGTGGTGGCGGTCGGGGTGGAGCTGTTCATAGGGGAGGTTCTGGCGGTGGCAAGAGGCAGCAGCAGCAGCATCCGAGCGAGACCCCTATGCCCTAGCAACTTCGTGAGTGGTTTGCTCAGTGTGGGGCGTCTGGGGGTAGTGTTCGCTGCCCGTATGTCATTCGCACAGGTGACCGCGCTGGTCAGACATGCGGGAAGTTTCACACACAGCACCGCTGCTTCTCCCGCCTTGACAACGCTTGGCGCGCAGAGTTTGGCGACGAGGCTGAGCGCCCCCGCTGGCTAGAGCTGCTTAGGTCTGGTGTTGATATCTTTGCTCTTGACTATGATGCTATCTTGGCTGCCATGTATGCCTTGTCTGTTAGTGCTAAGGGTGACTGTTACCTGTATGTGCCGCCCGACCCAGGTATAGAGGCTGCTGCTCTAGGTGCTAGTGAGTCTGCTCTCCCTGGAACTACGCCTGCTGAGGCCGTGCTTACCTTCACGCTTGACTCAGGTGCTTCCCACTGTTTCTTTCGCGATAGTACCACACTCACTCCACTCCCTGCACCTGTTCCAGCCAGAATGGCTGACCCCTCAGGGGGGCCAGTTCTTGCACGTTCCTCCACTGTTCTTCCGTGTCCGGCGGTTCCGTCCGGCTCACTCTCAGGTCTTCACCTCCCCTCGTTCTCTACGAACTTGGTGAGTACCGCTGCCCTCCAGGTGTCAGAGGTCCACTGGTGATCCCCGATTGATCCTAGGGAAGGGTTACGGGCTTGTTGTCCTGGGGGGTTATGGGCGCACCGATCCGCTACTTAACAAGCCCGTTTATCCCAATGGTCTAGTGGTTGGGATTCTGACATGGTATCAGAGCGAAGGTCTTCGGCTCGAATCCCAGTGTGTGTACTTCGGGCATCCCAGTGCGGGAGGGTGTTAGAGGTCCATTGGTGATCCCCGATTGATCCTAGGGAAGGGTTACAGGCTCATTGTCCTGGGGGGGTATGGGCGCACCGATCCGCTACTTAACAAGTCTTTTTATCCCAATGGTCTAGTGGTTGGGATTCTGACACCAGGATGTGATGGTCACTACCACCACTCCTGGGGGTCAGCGTGTGTCGATCTGCACGTGTACACGGACGGGCCGTCACCTGGCCACGTTCACCCGTCGGCCTGGATCGAGTTTGTACACACTGAGTACTGAGCCTCCTCAGGTAGCTGCGTTTGGTCAGGTGTCCGCGTCAGGTCCGGTAGCAGCCCCTTGCTCGTGTCGCCTCCTTTCGCACCAGACTCTCCTTTGGCACCACCGCCTTGGTCACCCCTCCATGCCACGCCTTCGTGGCATGCACTCCCACCTCCTTGTTTCTGGTCTTCCCAGTTCTCTGCCTCCCCTCTCGCCCTCGCCTGCCCCGCCCTGCCTTCGTTGCGTTGAGGGGCGGCAGCGCGCCGCCCCTCACTCCTCCTCGTTTCCCTCGACGACTGCTCCCCTGAAGACTCTCCACATGGACGTGTGGGGCCCAGCCGTGTTAATGGATAGGACAGCGAGCACTACTTTCTGCTCGTTGTTGACGACTACACGCGTTACACCACAGTCTTCCCCTTGCGCAGCAAGGGTGAGGTCCCTGATGTCTTGATCCCTTGGATCCGCGTAGTCCGTCTCCAGCTTCGCTAGCGGTTCCGCGAGGACCTTCCTGTCCTGAGTCTACACTGTGACCGAGGTGGTGAGTTCTCCTCCAACCTCTTGCGGGACTTTTGACGAGTCGGTTCCCTTTTACTGTCTCTTCCCCTACCGCACTGCCCCTCTCCCCCTCCCGTTGCTCTTCCTCGCTCCAGGTCCCCCTCCGGTACACCCCCTCCCCCCTGAGGGTCCTGCTCCCTCAGGTGTGTCTCAGGTAGACCCACTCCCCCTGGCTGAGCCTGTCGAGGACACTGTAGACTCTGGTGCTGCTGGGGGTGGTGTTGCTAGGGGTGCTGCGTCTGGGGGTGCTCAGCCTGCGGGTGCGGAGCCTGGGGGTGCTGAGCCTGCGAGTGCGGAGCCTGGGGGTGCTGGATCTGAGGGTGCGGAGCATGGGGGTGCGGAGACTGAGGGTGCGGAGCCTGGGGGTGATGAGTCTGAGGGTGCGGAGTCTGGGGGTGCTGACCTTAGAGGTACTGCCTCTGCCGGAGGTCCTGCGGGTGCCTCTCTCACCACGGCAGCTGTGCGAGTGGTTTGCTTGGCGCACACGCCTTAGGAGTGGCGCTGTAGGAGCTGGAGGCCCTGCCGCTGGAGGCTCTGGAGCTGGAGGTGCTGGAGCTACTAGTTCTGGAGGTGCTGGACTTACTGCTGGAGCTGGAGGTACCGGAGGTGCTGGAGCTGCTGGTCCTGGAGGTGCTCGTACTAGAGGTACTGGAGCTGCCGGAGCTGGTGGTGTTGGAGGCGCTAGAGCTGGAGACCCTGGAGCTGGAGGCACTGGCGTTGGAGGCGCTGGAGCTGGAGGTGCTGGCGCTGGGGTGCTGGAGCTGGCGGTACTGGTGCTGGAGGCACTTTGCACCGGCGACCGTTTTTCAGGGATCACGAGTGGACCTCTAACACCCCCCCACACTGGGATGCCCGAAATGCACACACTGGGATTCGAACCCGAGACCTTCGATCTGATACCATGTTAGAATCCCAACCACTAGACCATTGGGATAAAAGGGCTTGTTAAGTAGCAGGTCAGTGCGCCCATAACCCCCCAGGACAACGAGCCTGTAATCCTTCCCTA